TTCCCCATGGAGATAAGAGGAAATAAACAAGAACTAGAAAGAAAATAGAAAAAACCCCAGAAGGGTATGTATGTATATATATGCTTGTACATGTATGTGTAGTGTGACCTAAGTGTAAATAGAAGTAGCAAGACGTACCTGAAACATTGCATGTTCATGAGACAGAAAAACGGACACCAGCAATCCTACCATCGTGTAAAACAATTACAGGTTTTCGTTTTACACTCACTTGGCAGGACGGTAGTACCTCCCTGGGTGGTTGCTGTCTACCAGCCTACTACCTAGATTCTTTTTGATTATAATAATAATAATTTCCTATGAGGATAAACTGAGGGCCTTGAATCTGCACTCTCTAGAAAGGTGTAGAATTAGGGGGGATATAACTAAGGTATATAAATGGACAAAAAGGTGAATACAGGAAAGAGTAAGGTTATGAGGATAACAAAAAGATTAGGTGATGAAAGATTGGATATCAGATTGGAGGGAGAGAGTATGGAGGAGGTGAATGTATTCAGATATTTGGGAGTGGACGTGTCAGCGGATGGGTCTATGAAAGATGAGGTGAATCATAGAATTGATGAGGGAAAAAGAGTGAGTGGTGCACTTAGGAGTCTGTGGAGACAAAGAACTTTGTCCTTGGAGGCAAAGAGGGGAATGTATGAGAGTATAGTTTTACCAACACTCTTATATGGGTGTGAAGCGTGGGTGATGAATGTTGCAGCGAGGAGAAGGCTGGAGGAAGTGGAGATGTCATGTCTGAGGGCAATGTGTGGTGTGAATATAATGCAGAGAATTCGTAGTTTGGAAGTTAGGAGGAGGTGCGGGATTACCAAAACTGTTGTCCAGAGGGCTGAGGAAGGGTTGTTGAGGTGGTTCGGATATGTAGAGAGAATGGAGCGAAACAGAATGACTTCAAGAGTGTATCAGTCTGTAGTGGAAGGAAGGCGGGGTAGGGGTCGGCCTAGGAAAGGTTGGAGGGAGGGGGTAAAGGAGGTTTTGTGTGCGAGGGGCTTGGACTTCCAGCAGGCATGCGTGAGTGTGTTTGATAGGAGTGAATGGAGACAAATGGTTTTTAATACTTGACGTGCTGTTGGAGTGTGAGCAAAGTAACATTTATGAAGGGATTCAGGGAAACCGGCAGGCCGGACTTGAGTCCTGGAGATGGGAAGTACAGTGCCTGCACTCTGAAGGAGGGGTGTTAATGTTGCAGTTTAAAAACTGTAGTGTAAAGCACCCTTCTGGCAAGACAGTGATGGAGTGAATGATGGTGAAAGTTTTTCTTTTTCGGGCCACCCTGCCTTGGTGGGAATCAGCCAGTGTGATAATAAAAATAAAATAACAGGAATAAATATTGGGGATGTAAATAGTGTGCTAAAAATATCTAGCCAAGACAGGACTCACAGCAGTGATTTTAAGTTGTAAAAATTCAGATTCAGGAAGGATATAGGGAAGCACTGGTTTGGTAATAGAGTTGTGGATGAGTGGAACAAACTCCTGAGTACTGTCATAGAAGCTAAAACATTGTGTAATTGTAAAAATAGGTTAGATAAATACATGAGTGGGTGTGGGTGGGTGTGAGTTGGACCTGACTAGCATGTGCTACTAGGTCAGATGCCTTGCTCCTTCCTTTAGTGAATATGACCTGACCTTACCTGACTAGGTTGGGGTATTGGCTTGGGCCAGAGGGGGACTTGGACTTGCCTTGCATGGGCCAGTAGGCCTGCTGCAGTGTTTGGTTGACTGGAACAATGGAATTGGCCAAAGATAGGGCGCAAAGTGGGCAGAATCGCTGATGCATAAATATCACCAAGACCGCTACCCTTGCAAGAGCGTAATTCTGTAAGTTTTCTGTCAAATTTTGTACTTTTGGTTTCATTGCTTTTGGGAAAAAAAATTTCTATTTCATAAAATAAATATTTTTTTTTTTTATAAATTCTTTGACCCTGAGAGCAAGTTTGAGATAGGGTTAATGCCAGTATCATGTGAGAAATTTTTCAAAATGCAAATCATTTGAGAAATGGTTAGCTGATATAATAACTGATATCCTTAAGAAGTTCACAGTCTAAGTGAAACTTCTAATAGAAATACAGTGGACCCCCGCTTTATGATCACCTCCCAATGCGACCAGTTATGTAAGTGTATTTATGTAAGTGCGTTTGCACGTGAATGTTTGGGGGTCTGAAATGGACTAATCTAATTCACAATATTCCTTATGGGAACAAATTCATTCAGTACTGGCACCTGAACATACTTCTGGAATGAAATAATATCGTAAACCAGGGGTCCACTGTATTAGTTTTGAAGGCTTTCCTGAAATAATAGATCCAACCAAGCTTGATCAAGGTGACAGGTGAGTCACCTTGCATGGTTTTCAATCTTGTCCAGAAGCTGGAAATGTAGTAGAGTAGTGCACACTCAAGGTGAGAGCAAACTTGTACCACATATAGAGAGTTTTGCAGTCTGTGTTGTCGATCAGGTACAAGTTAGGCCTTATTACCATGTTTTTGGCTGCCTTTGTGGTAAGATTCACCAAATTATTCTTTATAGTCATTTCCGAGTCAAATATCACCAACAGCATATCACGCATACTTTGTGTACCAACATATATGTTGAAATACAGAGAATCCTGAATACGTATTACGGTAAATACTGTACCTACATTTTATTGCTTTGTATATTAATAAAATGCTTAAGTCTGTTGAAGCACCTTCCATCATCTATAATAGCAGGGTAACCAAAGAAAAAACATTTACCATTATTTATTCAATTGCTGTCCAGAAGTATGCTGACATTACAAGTCAGATTACCCTTTGACTGCAATATCCTCATCCCTCCTTCAGAGTTCAAGCACTTTTGGTACTGAAGTATGGAAATATGTGATAATGAGAGGTAGGAAAATAAGCACTGATTCAGGTTTGCTTCGATGCTTTTAGGACTGCTAAAGTACAGTTAGTAGGTTCCAGCCTACTGAACCAATACACAGCCTCTCACTGTTTTCCTAACAAACCAGTCTTTGACATAGAAAATTGTCCTTAATTCTGGTTGGATAAAGCCTCAACATTAAAAGTTTTTCTTCAAAAAGTTTTTGAAAAGTATCCAGCAGAATTAATCACTTATTTCAGCCCTGGTTTACTTAACATTATTAATATTTATTTTGAAAGTTAAGACACTTGTGCAACATCTGGTTATCTTTATTGTAGACGTTTTGCCATCCAGTGGCTTTATCAATACAAATTCTTGGACATAATAAGAAAAATGAAGAACTATATACAAAAGATGAGGTAATCAGTCCCTCGGCCTTGGAGGTGGTGTTTAGAGCACCGTGGTTGTAGAGATTCTGAAGCACAGGCAAGGAGACTGGCGCTTATATAGGCGTCAGTGAAGGGACGTGTAGCAGACGAGGGCATAGTCACTGGTAGGCGGGATTCCCCAGTGGAAGTAGGTCCTTCCCAAATTGATGGGCTAGTTGTAGAAGTCTTGAAGAAAGTCATGTAGATGTCCTCTGAATCAAGATACCATGATGTTGCAGTGCCTGACAAGTTGTGCAAGACTGGTATACAATACCGACAAGATGAAAGTTAAGACACTTGTGCAACATCTGGTTATCTTTATTGTAGACGTTTTGCCATCCAGTGGCTTTATCAATACAAATTCTTGGACATAATAAGAAAAACGAAGAACTATATACAAAAGATGAGGTAATCAGTCCCTCGGCCTTGGAGGTGGTGTTTAGAGCACCGTGGTTGTAGAGATTCTGAAGCACAGGCAAGGAGACTGTCTCCTTGCCTGTGCTTCAGAATCTCTACAACCATGGTGCTCTAAACACCACCTCCAAGGCCGAGGGACTGATTACCTCATCTTTTGTATATAGTTCTTCGTTTTTCTTATTATGTCCAAGAATTTGTATTGATAAAGCCACTGGATGGCGAAACGTCTACAATAAAGATAACCAGATGTTGCACAAGTGTCTTAACTTTCATCTTGTCGGTATTGTATACCAGTCTTGCACAATATTTATTTTGTATGGGTGCAAGGCATGGGCTTTGAATATTGCAGCAAGAAGGCTAGAGACTGGAGGCATGTGTAATGTGATTATGCCAAGAGTTTGAAGTGTAGAAATTAAAGACAGTGTGAGGTCACAAAGGGCCTGAGGAGGGATTGCTGAGGTGGTTTAGGCATTTAGAGAATATGGCAATGATTTAACATGACTTGGTGATATATACATTTTTCTTTGAAAATAAGTAAAAGATTTTGCATGTAACCTTCCACTTTAAATACATGTCACTAATGTCATGTATTGCCTGTTTTATTTTTGAAGCATCTGTATGTATAATTCTTGTTTGTGTAAAAAAGAGTCATTGCTTAGAGAGAGAGAAAAAAAAAGACAAATGCATTTAAAATATTTTCTATAAAGTTTTTCTTGTAACATTAATTTACAGTGATAGGTACTGTTTATACAAGACCATCCAATTTTGTGATGCATAATTTATCTGTTATTGAATATGTTTTATGCTTAAAAAAGATATCAAGGCAAGAAGGCTAAATCATGAGTAGTGCTGTGGTCTTCTAGTTAATTCCTTAGGCATTTTTGCTTGTGATTATAGTAGGAGATGCTCTGCCTGTAATCCTCATTTTATGTTTTGATTTACCATGAGAATGCTATTAAAATTTTTACTAATTTTATCAAAGAAAAAGTGGCATGACTTGTATTAAGATTTAATGTTAAAAATTTACAAAGGAATAATTTCCTAGGCTTTTTTTTTATACATATCAATTTCTTATTCCCTTGCAAAAATATGTTTTTATTTATGTGTGACATGAAAAAGTATTGTACCTTCTGGCTGCATATTCAAATGTCTATTTATAATAAAAGAATATTTATAAACAACCTTAAATTTGTTCAAGAGGTAAATTAATATAAATATAAATATATGTTTATTTATATTTATATTTTATACATACTGTATATAACATTGACTGGATGTGTTACTTCATGGTAGGAATCCCCAGAGCCAGCAGCAACTATACATGAAGACAGCCAAAGCTTTGAGCAGACCATATCAAGGTTTGAACTTCAGTTCTCAGGCATGATCTACACACTTATGGAAAGAATATCGGAAATGGGACGGGACAACTACAATGATGCGTTGGTTAATGTAATATATAGGTAAGTAAATTCTCTTACTGAGTTCTTCTAATACATTTTTAATGTCATGAGGTTGGTTTTTTTTAAGTTTGAATAAGTAATTTTGAATTAAGCATTAAATTTTTGGAATGCTATGGCTTTGATATTTGTTGTTTTCCATGAATTTCTAAACCTGTGTACAGTGGAACCTCAGTATTCATACAACTCATATATTTGTCCAACTTTTTAAGAAAAATTTGACTCAGTATTCTGATGTTGCCCTGATATTCGACCTAAACAAAGCATCACAAGCTCAGTCTCTCGTCAGCTTTCATTCGTTAAGCATCGTTCATACAAGCTCCATGAAACATTTTGGTATTTCATTGTTATTCTGTGGTGATTTTTTTTAAATATTTCCATTGAAAATAACTAATCATAGCCCAAAAAAGAATAGTGATCCAAACAAGCCTAAAAGGAAAGCATTGATAACAACAATTAAAGTGAAAAAAAGAACTCATTGTTAAGTGGGAAAGTGAAACACGTGTGTTGGACCTGGCCACTCAATATGGTATGGCAAAATCCACCATTTTGTCCATATTGAAAATAAAGAGGCAATAAAAGGGGCTGATGTAGAAAAAGGAGTGAGGATTCTTTCTGTGAAGAGGTCACAGATAATTTGAAGAAATGGAAAAACTTTTGCTAGTGTGGATTAAGAAAAAATATTGGCTAGTGACAGTGTTTCTGAAAAGTAATTTGTCAAAAAGCAAAGCAGTTACACCTACCATCCGACTTACGACCTGCTCGACTTACGACCACTCTACTTACGACTGTGTTTTTTGTGCCAAATTTCTGGGAAATAAACAACTATTTGTGTTGTACACAGTGTTTATCCTAACTTACAGTTTAAAAAACAGTACTAACGCTAAAAGTAAAGTAAACATATAAAATGTCATACAAAAAGGATGTTCATTTCAGAGTCAAGTTCGACTTTGGGCCATTTTGACTTACGACTGTTTTCGGAACGGAACTCGTCATAAGTGGAGGGCAGGGGAGACTATCAGGGAAAAAGTAACGATTTTAAAGGGAAGTTTGGGGCTGGTTTGTAGGTAAAAGGGTAGGGAGTCATATGTTGTAAGGCATGGTCCAGTGTAACAGAGATGAGGCTGAAAAGTTAAGAGATTTAAAACCCAAAGAATTGAGGGATTTATCTCAAAAAAAGTTTTTTGGGGACGAAACCGTTCTTTTGGAAAAGAAAGCCTAAAGGAACCTACATCACACAATAAGAAAAATCATTTCGGACCAAGCCCATGAAAGACAGGCAACATTATTGTTGTGTGGTTGCTAGTGGGGACTGCAAACTTAAACGTTGCTAGTCTAAACAGAGTCCCTCAATAATCGTCTGCCTGAAAGTCGTCATTCGGAAAATAGTCACGTTTTTCGTCATAAACATTGGCTTTCAATTTGGGCCGTTAAAATCGCTAATGGCTTTGTCCTAGACGCGTACTTTTACGGTCTGACGCCTCAGCCTCCCCCAGCAGTGTGCCTTGTTTACAAGTGAGCGACGGTCCCCTCGTGTTCATGAAAAATATTTCTAATAATTCCATTCATTTTAATGCTTGCAAGTGCTTAATAAGCTATCAGGCTCCAAAGAAGCTCCTAGTGCCAAGCCTTTGGTAAAAAGGGGAGAAATATGATTTAATTTAAGAAAAAATCATTGAAACAATATGAAAGTGGCATACGTGTGGGCCCGAAACTAGCCAGGATGTTTAACAAATCCCATACAACATACTTCCATCTTAGCAAAAAAAGGAAATCAAGGAAGCTGGTGTTGCAAAGGGGGTAAATATGCTGACAAAAAAGAGATCACTAGTACTCGAAGATGTTGAGGGAAGTTATTATTGGTTTTGGATTAAAAAGAGAAACAATTAGCAGGCGATAGTCTTATGATGTTGCTAATTTGTGAAAAGGCTAGGCAGTTGCATGACGATTTGGTAAAGAAATTGCCTGCAACTAGTGGTGATGTGAGTGAATTTAAGGCCAGCAAAGGCTGGTTTGAGAGATTTAAGAAGCGTACTGGCATACACAGTGTGATAAGGCATGGTGAGGGCTGCCAGTTTGGACCAAAAGTGGCTGAAAAATATATGCAGGAATTCAAGGAGTACATAGAGGCTGAAAGACTGAAACCTGAACAAGTGTTCAATTGTGACGAAACAGGTCTCTTTTGGAAGAAAATGCCAAAGAGGACCTACATTTTCTCAGGAAGAAAAGGCACTGCCAGACACAAGCCTATGAAAGACAGGCTGACGCTCATGTTCTGTGCTAATGCTAGTGGGGATTTCAAAGTGAAGCCGTTTTCTTTGTGTACCATTCTGAAAATCCCAGAGTTCAAGAAAAACAATGTAATGAAGAGTAAATTGTGTGTGTTTTGGAGATCTAATAATAAGGCATGGGTCAAGAGGGACATTTTCGTCAAGTGGTTCAATGAAACGTTTGGCCCTAGTGTGAAGAATTACCTCCTGGAAAAGAAATTGGATCTCAAGTGCCTCCTAGTAATGGACAGTGGATCTGCTCATCCTCCAAACTTGGATGACCTAATTCTGAAGGAGTTTGGGTTCATCACAGTAAAGTTCTTGCCATCGAATACCACTCCTCTCCTCCAGCCCATGGACCAGCAGGTCATTTCAAACTTTAAAAAACTCTACACCAAAGCAATGTTTGAAAGGTGCTTTAATGTGACCTCAGACACTCACTTGACCCTAAGAGATTTTTCGAAAGAACACTTCAATGAATACAGGAAAGAGTAAGGTTATGAGGATAACAAAAAGATTAGGTGATGAAAGATTGGAGGGAGAGAGTATGGAGGAGGTGAATGTATTCAGATATTTGGGAGTGGATGTGTCAGCAGATGGGTCCATGAAAGATGAGGTGAATCATAGAATTGATGAGGGGAAAAGGGTGAGCGGTGCACTTAAAAGTTGTGGGACAAAGAAATTTGTCCCTTTGGGGGCAAAGAGGGGAATGTTGTGAGTATGTTTTACCACGCTCTTTTATGGGTGTGAAACTGGGTGTGAAAGTTGAAACGAGGAAAGGTGGGGGAAGGGAATGTTATGTCTGGGGCAATGTGTGGTGGAATATAAGCGAGAATTCGAGTTTTAGTTAGGAGGGGGTGCTGGATTACCAAAAATTTGTCCGAGGGCTGGGAAAGGGGTGTTGAGGGGTTGGCATTAGAGGAATGGGTGAAAAAGAATGATTCAAGAGTGTATCGTCTGTGTGGAGGGAAGGGGGGTAGGGTCGGGCCCAGGAAAGGTTGGAGGGAGGGGGTAAAGGTGGTTTTGTGTTGGGGGGCTTGGATTTCCCAGCGGGCATGGGGTGAGCGTGTTTGATAGGAGTAAATTTGGAGACAAATGGTTTTTAATACTTGACGTGCTGTTGGAGTGTGAGCAAAGTAACATTTATGAAGGGATTCAGGGAAACTGGCAGGCCGGACTTGAGTCCTGGAGATGGGAAGTACAGTGCCTGCACTCTGAAGGAGGGGTGTTAATGTTGCAGTTTAAAAACTGTAGTGTAAAGCACCCTTTTGGCAAGACAGCGATAGAGTAAATGATGGTGAAAGTTTTTCTTTTTCGGGCCACCCTGCCTTGGTGGGAATCGGCCAGTGTGTTAATAAATATAATAACACTTCAGTATTCTCCATTGCATAAGCCTTATAGGTAAGGTTTGGGAGGGAGTCACTACCAGGTAAAGAATCTATTTCTGAATGTAATGACACCATAACTTTTCCATCTATTTTCATACTTTTTGTAATTACGCAGGTGAAATGACCCTTGTAGGTTTAGCGCTTCTTTTTGATAATATGCGGGCAGAAAGTTGGCATCCAGGGTGTAATTTACACACCTGGTATTCTGCCCATTATGAGTTCTATTTTAAGTCAATTCCTTTGCCAAGTTCAACTGAAGTCTTGGCTCATATGCTAGTATGCCTTCTATTCTGTTGATTGAGCATAAGAAACTGCCCATTATCAGAACTACCCTGGGGTAATTTTATTAAAGATAAAAACAAAAATATTCAAAAATTATCTGTATTTTAGTAGTATATCTTCCATTTTATCAATAAGAATACTTCAAAGTCAGTTTTAAACCAAACACAAGATCAGAGGTTTGCTTTTTCCCCAGGATTTTTTTTTTTTTTTATTCACACCATGCACACTTGCTGCACAGACCCATTCCCTCATGTTTAGAACAAAATTTACCTCAGTTTATGTGAGGGAGCTAAGCTAAAAACAAGTATACGCGAGCAACACAAGTGTCAGTAATTTAGATCTACGTAAGAGACGACAAAAGGTTAATAGTATTAATTACACTACATCTTTCATGTATCATATTCTAGCTTTTCTTGTGTATACATTCCTGCATTGTTGAGGTTTAATGTCATGGTGTTGATGAGCTAATGGTACCATTAAAGCGAATTATTGATTACGTGTACAGGTGCTCCTAGACTTATGATGGGGTTACGTTCCAATGACCCATATCATAAGTTGAAAATATTACAAATCGAGTATGAATATACAGTGGACCCCCGCATAGCGACCTTAATCCGTGCAAGAGGGCTGGCTGTTATGCGAAATGTTCGGTATGCGAATGAATTTTCCCCATAAGAAATAATGGAAATCAAATTAATCCGTGCAAGACACCCAAAAGTATGAAAAAAAAGTTTTTACCACATTGAAATATAACACTTTCCTTCCTTACACACAAGAGAAGATACTGCCGCAATAGTAAGTATACCTGCACAATGATATATTGTCATGTACTACTCTACTAAAATGAAAGAATAAAATGCACTTAGCCTTTATTGAAGATGTATGCAATGACCTGATGAACCACTGTGTCCTGGAGTGCCTTTTCCTAACCTGAGTATGTAGGTCCTGTTTGGTATTTTCTTCCAGAACAGCATGTATCACACTGTGATATGTCCACTACATTCTTAAATCTCCTCAAACCAACCTTTGCTGGCTCCTAAATTCACCAATACGAGCACTATTC